ATGGGAAGATCTTCCCATCGCTGGGTGGCATGATTCTGGAATCCCGGGATCACTTACCCATGCATGGGTAAAATCTACCATCGCTGGGTAGATGGCAAGCCTAGAAGTAAAAACCAATCATAAAAAGTTGAAAACCACTTGGTTAGTTCGGACGCCAAAAACCAACGCCGAAAACCGAATGCCGAACGCCGGTTTCTGAAACCCGAACGCCGGATGGCTTGATTTTTGGTTTGGGCGAACACCAAGTGTTTTTAATGTTTTAAACATGTTTGAAAAACATTTTTATGATGTGTGAAATGCAATGAAAAGAATTTTAGCCTAAAGAGCCAAGGTGTAAAGGTTGGGTCGGTCTTGATCACAATTATGACCGACTCAACAACACTAAGACTACGGTCTTCGTTCTTGGTATTCTTTTGGGTCTTGTTCTCTTGCTTTCTTCTTATATTTATTTCTCGCCTTGTATATTCAATAACTTGTCTCGTTCACGGCGGTTTGGCATTATCAAAACCTGTCATAAAAACGAACACGGCTTTAGTACGAAAACATGATAAACCCGTGTTTCAACACAAGAAAATGCGATGTCCTTGCAAGAAATGTAAGAACATCAAGTTTTGTTCATCAAAGAAAATGTGGACCAACAGGTTGGATATCACGAGGGTCCCGATCATCACGGTCAGTTCGTGTATGTCAATTCGGATGACGAGTAAGTAATCTACTACATTTGATGATTATGGTTACATGTTTGTAAGGTTACATGTTTGAAGTAAGTAATCTACGTGTATGGTTACATGTTTTAAGTAAGTAATCTAACGATTTAATGCTCACCACTTATACATGTTTGTAGGGTTATTATAATCACTAGAGCTGGTGCTGCGCTCATCACACCGGCATTCTACGAGAGGACGGACGCGACTGGCTTTTCATGGGGCAAAGTCTCAAAGACGACGAAGGAGTTCAACTTTCGAGAGTTCAAGGCTTTTTTGGAAAAATTACTATTTAACTTGTTTCGATCACAAGAAAATTAATATATGTGAATACAATCTAAGTTATTGACTTTTCTATGATGTCAATGTAGAAAAATGCTCGAGTGGATCCGTCCATTGATGAGGGCAGGCTGAGGAAAGCTTTTCTCAGGAAAGCTGCTGAACGGTACGCGAGTTATACGTACAATCAAAGGAACCCAACTCGATTGAAAAAGAAGAAGATGGACCCTCGGCCACTTGAGCAGTTGAAGAAGGTAAATTATAAGTTTGGAGCATATGTTTGGAGCATATGCGTACAAATCGCTATGTACAAGTAATGTTTATGAAATATACAACTATAGGTTTGGGAAGAGGATCCGGAGTTTTTGGAGTTGAGTAAGATAAAGAAGAAGAACATAAGAAAGGGAAAAGAGGATGGTCCTGCTCTTGGGACTTATTGCGGAGGTTCAATTCCATTTTCAGAAAATATGAATCGATTGGTAAGATATATTTTATAAAATAATAGCTTTGCACTTGTTATTCGGTGGACACTAAATTTAAAATGTAATGGAAATGTTCATTGAAACTTGAAGGCTAAGAAGAAAGGGGCGCCTGTGCTGTTGGATGAGGTTATCATCCACACAAAGACAAAGAAGCACGATGGCAAGACTTGGGTGGATCCGGGACATGCTGAGCTACAAGTACTTTCCACAATTTGCAAAATAGTTTGGGTTCATGCTCATAATGTTGGTATTTTTGTCTTTAAGCTTCTAAAGGGTGATAATGTAGTCGCTTTCTTGTGTAATTTTATTGTTTTGGTTGACGTTATTCTTACTGTTTATGTTATTGTTAATTGTGTTGTTATTATTGTTGTTACATTGATGGTGTTGTTGTTGACATATGACACTATTTTTGTTGTTGCGTTGATGGTGTTGTTGTAGGGTTGACACTACTTTTGTTGTTGAGTTGATGGTGCTGTCATCACTAGCTAGATGTTACGTTTCTTATCGATCCATGATAATGTTGTTAAGTTCTTGTGTTGTTGTTGTTGTTGTTGTTTTTGTTGTTTTTGTTGTTGTTGTCATATGATACTGTGTTTGTTGTTGCGTTGATGGTGTTGTTGTTGTCATTTGACCACGACTTGTGTTGTTGTTTGATGTTGTTCATGTTGTTATTGTTGTTCTTGACACGCTATTATAGTTACGTTGTTATTGTGTGTTATTAAGTATCATATATTGCAGGCACAATTCTTCGAACTGCGCGAGGAGGCTAGACAAAATGGACTTAAAGTCACTGACGAAGAAATATGGTACTCGCTAGTCGAGGGCCATAACGCAAAGAACCGTGTTCCTGGAGTTGGTGACTACGTGCGGGAAATGAAGAAGATCAATCCGTCCTCCAAACCTCACCGTTCCAGCACTAGTAGCAGCAGCACGGCGGAGATGGCAGCACTTAAAGAGCAAAACCAAAGGCTGCACGAACAACTTGATAATCTAACCTCAAGCTTGTCGCTGACGATTCAGGAGGAGATAAGGAAGTTATATGGTGGTAATCTTCCTCCACGAGGCGATGACGATGGAATGGGAGGGGCAGGACAGCCCGGGATTTGTTGACATCTTTGACATTTGACACAAGCACTTTAATATTTCGTGTTTTTACAAGATTATGAATTATGTTACATTTGCACGTGAAGTTTTAATTAATCTCGTTTTGAATTATCTATTTCGTATTGAAATCATGTTTAGAATTATGCGTGTGAAATTTGAATGTGTGTTGCCCCTGGTACTGCCTAAAAACAGGAAATGCTGGTGCTGTGATCAGGTAGTCTGCGACGGAAAACCTTGTTGTTGAAACACGGGTTTATCGTGTTTTCGTACTAATGACAGGTTTTGATAATGCCAAACCGCCGTGAACGAGACAAGTTATTGAATATACAAGGCGAGAAATAAATATAAGAAGAAAGCAAGAGAACAAGACCCAAAAGAATACCAAGAACGAAGACCGTAGTCTTAGTGTTGTTGAGTCGGTCATAATTGTGATCAAGACCGACCCAACCTTTACACCTTGGCTCTTTAGGCTAAAATTCTTTTCATTGCATTTCACACATCATAAAAATGTTTTTCAAACATGTTTAAAACATTAAAAACACTTGGTGTTCGCCCAAACCAAAAATCAAGCCATCCGGCGTTCGGGTTTCAGAAACCGGCGTTCGGCATTCGGTTTTCGGCGTTGGTTTTTGGCGTCCGAACTAACCAAGTGGTTTTCAACTTTTTATGATTGGTTTTTACTTCTGGGCACATTTAAATAGTTTTCCATCAAAAACCACCTTTCGTTTTTTGTCGTTTGATAAAAACCACGCGAAACGACATAAACTTGGCTAGCCGTGGTTTTCACTTAAATGA